CAAAAAAAAAAAAAAAAAAAAGTAAGCTAAAGAAGTTTTAATGCTTACAAGTGAAATTTTGCAGAAAATTCTTGGCCAATATGGAAGTACTCCTTTTACAATTTCTGTGTCTCTATCTGTACACATGGTTCCAAATTCTTGCATAGCCTGAAAGTAATTAACATCATTAAAGATTACCAAACAGAATACTGGCTATCTCCTTTTGTAACGGGAATACATCATTTTGGTTTGTGTCACAATGAAATATGAAAAATTCTTTCACAATCTACTATGGTAGGAATCTTTTTTTTCTTTTTTTTAAGACAAGCATAAACAAACAAAACACATTTAAAATTACAGAGTGGAGGGCTGGAGAGATGGCTTAGCAGTTAATTGTACTGATTGCTCTTTCAGAGGAACCAGGTTCAGTTTCCAGCACCCATATGGCAGCTAACAACTGTCTGTAACTCCAGTTCCAGGTGATCCAACACCCTTTTCTGACTTCTACAGATACTACACAGCACAAGAGCACTTACATACACTCAGGCATAACAGTCATACACATAAAATAAAAATAAATAAATCAAAAATTTAAAAACATTTTAAAAATATTATAAAATTCCAGAGTTGAGTCAGGCATGGTGGCATACATTTGTAGTCACAGCTCCCCAGAGGCTAAGGAGGATTTCTTGAGCCCAGGTATTCCAGACTAGCTTAGACACTATCAAAAATCCCTGTCTCAAAAAATAAAAAATATCAAGACATGGTGGCTCACACATGTAATCCCAGCACTCAGGAGGCTGAGGCAGGAAGAATGTCACAAGTGTGAGGACTGCCTGGTCTCAAGTTCCAGGCCAGCAAGGGCTAATACAGCAAAAACTCATTCAGAGATAAAATGTATAAGGCCTGGAGAGATGGCTCAGCAGTTAAGAGCATTTGCTGCTCTTCCAGAGAACCCAAGTTTAACTCGAAGCACCAACATCAGGCGACTCACAACCACCAGTAACTCCAGCTCCAGGGGATCCAACGCCTCCTTCTGACTGCCACAGACATACAATACATGTAGCATACATACATAAACACATACACATAAAAAATTAATATAAAAATAAGTCAATAAATATATATAAACTTTTTTTTTTTTCCCTGTTTTGGTCTTATTGAGTAAAGGTCTCCCTGTAACCCCACTGGCCTGGAATTCACTATGTAGACCAGGCTGGCCTTGAACTCACAGACAGCTGCCTGCCTCTGCCTCCTAAGTGCTGGCATTAAAGGCATGTGCCACCATGCCCAGCCTATATTAAAATATTTTTTAAAAGTAAAAATTACATTTCTTACCAAGAATAAGTGTAGAGCTAAAATTCCAAAGTGGTTCAAAATGGTTTGGCACAAAAAACTAATTTGTAACCCAAAAGATAGGTATCAGCTAAGTTTTTGTGTCAGAAATAAAAAATTACAGTTGCAAAAGACCTAATTAATGACAAATTATTGCTCATTTTTACATGAAATATGTTTAGTGACATTTATTCTAACAAACATACTTTAACCATTTTTTTTTTGTGAAAACAAGAAAACTTACTTTTAACTTTGTTGTGACATCTTTCTTGGAAAGTTTCCGCAGCACCATTCGAAAATCAGAGTCTACAGGACTGTCTATTTCTTCAGCTCCTTGAATAGCAGGAACATAGCCTAAGTCACTGTGAGATGTTCCAAAACCAATAAATCCAGGTACTGTTCCCTGTTCTTTGGCAAGGAGTTCTGCAGCTCGACCACTGTTTGAAGGCTGATAAAGAAAAAAGTCAGAGCCCAAGAACAGTTCAATATTTAATTTGGTAACTCCTTCACAACTATAACCAGAGCCAACTGTTGATTGCCTTTGTTCCATACCCTACAATGTTCCCCAAAGACAAATATTTCTGTCACTAAAAGCCTATCAAAAATGTTCTCAAGCGGAGCTGGAGAGATGGCTCAGTGGTTAAGAGCACTGACTGCTCCTACAGAGGACCCAGGTTCAATTCCCAACATCCACATTGTGGCTATCAACTGTCCATAACTCCAGTTCCAGGGGATCTGACGCCCTCTTCTGACCTCCTTGGGCATTGCATGACATGGGTGCACTTACATGCATGTAGGCAATACATTCATACACATAAAATAAAAATAATTTAAAAATTGTTTTTAAATGTTCTCAAGCCAGGCATGACACATGCCTTTAATCCTGGCACTCTGGAGGCAGAATTCGGCAGAACTCTGTAAATTCAAGGCCAGCCAAGTCTCCACAGCAAATTCCAGGCAAATCAGGGTTACATAGTGAGACCCTGTCTCAAAAATTTAAAAAAAAAAAATTCTCATGAACTAATTCCTAGTTTCCTAAAAGTAGAACAATCTTGTTAATTTTTTTAAGTCAGTCTCATATAGTTACACTGGTCTTGAACTTGACCCTCCTGAGGAGCTTCAGCCTCCCAAGTACTGGGGATCACAGGACATGCCATGATACCAGGTCAAAACAGTGTTTTAGAACTGTAGACACAGTCCAGTAGTGACGGATGATATCAATATAATGGGCCATGAGAAAAAATTTAAGACTAACAATCAAAAACCAGAATATATATCAAAATTTTCATAAATGTTATTTGAGTTTATTTCCAATTTTTATATAAATAGTATTCATATGCATGTATATTACATCATGATATAAAAAATACTAATTAAGCAGTCACCAGAGGTGAGATCTAATGACAGACAGTTCTAGACTGAGTACCTTGAAAGCAGACAATTCACTTCCACGTATTTGATGCTTAAAAATCACATTATTGCTGAGTGTAGTAGTGCACGCCTTTGATCCCAGCACTCAGGAGGCAGAGGCTGGCAGAGCTCTGTGAGAATGAAGATCGTAGCCTGGTCTACATAGAGTTCCAGGTCAGCTGAGTCTATAGAAAAACCCTGTCTCAAAAACACAAACAAAGGGCTGTAGATAGCTTAGCAGTTAAGAGTACTGGCTGCTCTTCCTGAGGACCTGGGTTTGATTCCCAGCACCCACATGGCAGCTAACAACTGTCTATTTAACTCTCCAGTTCCAGGGGACCCAATGCCCTCTTCTGACCTCTATGGGCATTGCATGACCCGGGTGCACTTACATCCATGGAGGCAATACACTCATACATATAAAATAAAAATAGGCAAAAATATTTTTTTAAAAACTCAATTATACACACAAAAATGGTCAAGACAAAAAGAAAAACTTTTGTTTAAAACAATAGTCGGTGGTTTAACCAATTACACAATATATTACTCCCCTTGTTCTAAAAGTTAGAAATTTTGTTAAGAGAAAACAAGTATTTGGAATATTGAAGGAAATTAATTTAGTCACTATCAACTAAGGGAAAAATACCTCTCTGACGACCATGTGTAAACAGTGTTTCTCATACACACCACCCAGTTCTCATTTCTCCAGAGGCATGCGCATATGTAATGCAAACGCTTACATCTATGGAAACTTTCACTGAATAATCTATCTATTCTCTAAGCTGAACTCAGTGAGCAGAAATCAATGATGGCCTGAATGAAATTTTTTTAAACTGCAGCACTGAAGACCAATTCCAGCAAAAGCTATTTTAAAGCCGTATTAAGCTGGGCATGGTGAGGCATGCCTTTAGTCCTGGCACTCAGGATGCAATGGGGGGATTACTGAGAGTTCAGGGCAGCCACAGCTGCAAAAGTTCTAAGCCAAACTGAGACACATAGCAAAAACCTGTCTTGGTAAAAGCTAATGATAAAAACCTTACTAAAATGAACAAAGACTATTCAGTTTACCTTTCTCAATGTTGTCATATAAAGAGCCATAAAAACCAGTGAATTATGCTTATAATTCTGAAAACTCAATGATTAAGATATCAGAAAGTTATCTATAACATAGCTGTCAACAGTGTTATTATTTATAATAAAAACTAGTTATTGGGGGCTGGAGACATGACTCAGTGATTAAAAGCACACACTGCTCTTCCAGAAGACTTCAGTTCGATTCCCAGTACCCACGCCATCAGATAACTCCAGCTGCGGGGGATCAGATACCTCTGGCCTATGTGAGAATGTCATAAAGAAATTCATTACATATAATTAGCATATGCTAATAAAAAATATTTTTTAAAAACTACTGCTAAGCTGGGCCAGGTGGTACACACTTTTACTCCTAGTACTTGGGAGGCAGAGGCAGACAGATCTCTGAGTTCAAGGCCAGCCGGCCTCGTCTACATAGCAAGTTCCAGACCAGGTTACATAATCAGACCCTGTTTTTTTTGGGGGGGGGACAGACGGATGGACTACACCACTACTAAAGAGTGGAGGCTGCATTTGAACTAACCTCGATGATCAGATAGGACAGCAGTGATAAGGGAAGGGAAAAGCCTCAGACTTCCATTTTCCAATTTAACTTCCTTAAATGTGAAAATGATGCCTTTTATTCAATTCAATCAATACTGTGAAGTTAAAAGTTACTATTATGACCTTTGCAGGTTACTTATACCTATATTTCAATACAAATTAAGAACTTAAGGGCCGGCAAGGTAGCTCAACAAGTAAAGGCACTGCCGGTAAGCAGAGGCCTGAGATGGATGTCAAGAACCACGTGGTAGAACTGAACCTGCCAACTGCCCTCCAACCCAACCATAAATAAATAAAGTAATTAAGAACCTTTGGCTGGAGTGATAGCTCAGTCTGTAGGACTTGCCCCCAAGCATGACACCCTGACTTTGATTCTTAGGACTCACATAAAAAAGCCTGGTGTGTAGGGGCTAGAGAGATGACTCAGTGGTTAAGAGCACTGACTGCTCTTGCAGAGGACCCAGATTTGATTCCCAGCACCCACATGGTGGCTATGAACTGTCCTTAACTCCAGTTCCAGGGGAATCTGAAGACGTCTTTTGACCTCCGCAGCACTGCACCACACGAGTGCATTTGCATACATGCAGGGAATACACTCATATACATAAAATAAAAATAATAATATATTTTTAAGTCTGGTATGGAAGCAACACATTTGTAAGCCCAGCACTGGGGGGTGACGAGAATAGGAGTCTCCCTGCTAACATGCTCTGAGCTCCAAATCAGAAAGAGACCCTGTCTCAGAAAAACAAGGCAGAGAACTCCTGGATTTCATAACATCCAGGGTTGACCTCTGGCCTCCACATGCACCCGTGTGCACACACATCAATAGGCACAGAGGCACGAACACACACATGAACGCACACTATTTAGGCCTGGTTGGCCCTGAAGTCAGAGATCCTCCTGCCTCTCCCCGGGTTCTTGGATTAACAGGCATGCAGTACCACACCTGGCTCCCTATTCTGTTGTTGGCAGTTTTCATATACTATGTCTACTTCTGGTCAGTCTTTCTAGCTGGTTTCTCTACAGGTATTCATAATTATTTAATACATCATAGTATTTGCTTACAAATCTGTCCCTAGGCTTCTCTACAGGTATTCATAACTTAGTACATACAGTATTTGCTTACAAATCTGTCTCTATCATCAAATTGATACTTCAAGAATAGCAATAAAAATCTGAATGTAGGTGTGGAGGTGCATACCTGTAATCCCATAATCTCAGCATGTGGGAGGGGAGGCAGGAGAATCAGGGTATTAAGGCCAGACTCAGTTACATCACAAGTTCAAGTCCAGCCTGGAATATACGAGACCCCATCTCAAAAGAAACAAAAAGAACAGCAGCCAGTCAGCTTTGTGGCACAAGCCTGTAATGCCAGTACTCAGGAAGCTAAGGTAGGGAGATCATAAGTTTGAGGCCGGCCTGAGCTATATAAGAAGTTCCAAGCCAGCCTGCAGTATAAAGCAAAATATTGTCTCAAAAGTAGATAAAGAAAAACTGGATGTGTATCTATAATCTCTAAATATATGTGGCACCCAATACTATTTCTTGTTGAATAAATGCTGCTCTAAAGTTCAAGCCCAGGGACAGTGTTTTACTTTGCTTTCCTGTTGCTGTGACAAAACACCATGACCAAAAAACAAGAGGGAAAAAATTATCTGGGCTTGGTGGCGCACACCTTTAGTCCCAGCACTTGGGAGGCAGAGGCAGGTGGATCTCTGTGAGTTAGAGGCCAGCCTGGTCTACATAGCGAGTTCCAGGCCAGCTGGGGCTACAGGGAGACCCTGTCTCAAAAATAAAGCACTTGCCAACCAAGTCTGACCATTTGAGTTTGATCTCCAAAAGCTGCATTAAGGTGAAAGAGAGAAGACTCCTGAAAGTTATTCTCTTACAAACATACACACACACACACACACACACACACACACACACACACACACTCACACACATGCACAAATAACAAATAATTTTAAAAAATTAAACTTCAGAGAACACAGGGGACTGCCTGAGAGTGCCCAGATCCTGCCTCCACATGGTGATAAGAGTTAATGCAATTTGGGAGTCTCATAGATAGACCCACTGAAGTGGTACCCCAATTGCCTCACCCTGCCATCCCTGTTTAGCATGGAAGAAGCCAGAGCAGTTTATCTGCAAGCTTGTTAACCTCTTCAGTGGATGGTGTGATAAGAATTGGCTAGGCAGTTAGTGTAAAATGACCCCAAAGAAAAGTAGCCAGTTTCTTGGCTAAAAGTCAAAATGTCCTTGGGCCTCTTAGCAACATACTGTTCCAAAGGCCAAAAATGTTGAAAGTATTTGGGAGCTCTTATCTAATCCTTAAAAGATTTTAGGGTTACCTCTTCAGAGGGGGGAATGTTAGAGTAGCAAAAAGCCCAATAAAATAAAAGAGAAAAAGAAAGAGTACATGAAGTTATCAGAAAAAAGTAATGGGGAGATATGGGAGGAGTTGGAAGGGAGGAAATGGGCATGGATCTGAACCAAACACCTTATATACTTATATGCCTGTATGAAATTCTCAATAAATTTTTTTTTAATTAAACTTCAAGCTTCCAACTCATGAAGCTTCCTGGCTACATGAGCTTAAGCAAATAAATTTCTCTAAATTTCAGTTCCATCATCTTTAAAATGAGGTTTAGTCACTGTAAATATTAAACGTAAGTCTTTTGTTTTTTAAGTGTATTAGTGCTTTGTCTGCATGTATGTAAGTGTGTGAAATGTCAGTGGAGGCCAGAAGAAGGTGTGGGTGTCAAATCCCCTGGAACTGGAGTTAGAGACCATCGTTAGCCCACCATTCAGGTGCTGGGAACTAAACTGGGGGTCCTCTGCAAGAGCAACTAGCACTCTTAATTGCTAAGCCATCTTTCCAGCCCCCCAACCTAAGTTTTTTAATTGCCATATTAATTCCACAAGAATTTAGGGGAAAGTTTGTAGGAAAATAGTATATTCAAACTCGGGCTACTCCACATGTTATTTATTAGCCAATGGAAACAAACTTTGCAATGACCAACATTACGCAAATACCACTAATAAGGAAAAAACAAAAATATCATGCACCCTTGGTGTGATGTACCAAGAAAGACTCATCATCATTTGAAGCATTCTAGGCAAAAATTGCCTAATCATAATTTGACACAGAAACAATTAGGTAAATCTAAATTAACCAAAGCTGATCAAACTCTTCTTAGTTGTTATGTCATAAAAGATACTCAGACCAAATCAGGGGAGGGAGAGACTGGCAAACTGTCTAGATCAAACTGGACTTAAATGGTAACTAAAGGGAATGAGTGACCCTTGACTTGGTCTCAAATGCTTTTAAAATGTTATCTAAAAACAGAATTAAAAATATAGCTGGGCATGGTGGCACACGCCTTTAATCCCAGCACTCGGGAGGCAGAGGCAGGCGGACCTCTGTGAGTTCAAGGCCAGCCTGGTCTACATAGTGAGTTCCAGGACAGCTGGGGCTGCAGCAAGACCCTGTCTCAAAAAGACCAAAAAAAGATTAATACAGAATGTAAGGCTACATGTGTGATTACACCAAGGTTGCATGTTATAGCTGCTCGATTTATAAACTAAGATGAAATGTGGAGAAACACATTGGTGGCTCTAAGAATATAGTTTGCAATTATAGCAGTGTTGCAATAAAACAAAATAAAATGAAATGTGAAGAAATATTAGCAGTTGGTGGCTCTGAGAATATAGTAATTTGCAATTATAATAGTCTTGCAATAAAAGAATGAGAAAATTCAAATACACAGAATCAACTAAAGAGAAGAATACAAGTGATGTGCTTACCACAGTAATCAAGCTACTACTATTGTTACTGTCATGCAAGGGTTGATAGATCTAAGAAAATGTGATACTGAAATCAGTAAAATTAACTGAATCAGAAGAGGGAAGACAATCCTATAAAACTGTATTGTACTAAAACAAATCCAGCATTATTAAAAAATAGTAATAACATCCCTAAGAGAGCAGCTTAAAAAAAAAAAAAAGAAAAGAAAAAAAAAACCTGCCTTGAAAATACCTATATGCTGGGGCTTGTGAGATAGCTCAGCTGTTAAAAGTACTGGCAGTTCTTTCTGAGGATAACGGTTCGATTCCCAGCACCCACATGGCAGCCAACAGCCATCTGTAACTCCAGTTCCAGGGGAATCCGATGCCCTCTTCTGACCTCTGCAAGCATTACAGGACACGGTGACCATGACACACATGCAGACAATACACTCATACACATAAAATAAATATTTAAAATACTTATATGCTAGTAAAGCAAGATCGTAAATTACATATGCTATAAGTCGTAAATGCATGCAGTGGAGTAAAATCAAGCATGGGGGGGGGGCCTACATTAAAATGGGGCTAAAAAGGAAGACTGTACCGAGGTATCCAGTCAATTACAGAACAGCATCTGCCAGGCAAGGCCATGGCATGGTGAGGTCAGGGTGACTTGGGGTGAGCCAGGAACAGGGAGTCCAATATGAGGCCAGACACCCAACGGGGCGTCCATCCGACCTGCACCCCAGTATACACATGTCCAGAGCACTGCCCCCAAGGCACAGTGGGTTTCCGACCTAATGAAGGGCAACATCCGAGGGCTCCCGCACACCAAGCCCGCGCACCCTGAGCCACGCCCGCGACCCCGATCCCGAATTTCCCCGGACGACCTCCCGGTGCACGCTCTGCGAGCGCAGCGGCGTCGGCAAACGTCTCCAGGTCCGAACTCCACGACCACCACCCGCAGGGACGCACGGAGAGGTCACATGCCTTCCCTACGGCTCCGCAGACGCCTCAAGCCCGCGACCCGAAGCTCCCCGGCCGCCCGCCCTCACCCTCAGGTTCCCCTTGGTCCGCTGCTTGTTCTTCCCGCCCATGGTCGCAGTGGTTGCTGCACTCTAGGTCCGCAGACCCAAGGCTGACACGGCCGGGCTACAACTTCCGGTCCCTCGCACCGGAAGAGGGCTCATTGTAACAACTCCGCCCCCCCTTCCCGCAGCCCAACCCGCCCTTCGACTTCCCACTTCCGCTCCCGCCTCCCAGCTGGCCCTTGACCAACCGCCCCTGGAGACGTCACAATAAAAGCCCCGCCTGTCTGACTGGCGTCACTCCTGGCCAATGGAAAGCCAGTATAGTGCCCGTCAGTGGGGCTATTCCCTTAGTGCGGGGGAAGAGACTTCCGCTGTCATCGCACACTAAGTAGCAATAGAATGAAACAGTAGTTGTACGAAGGAAAGAAAGTGCTAGACTTTAGGGGCTGCAGAGATGGCTCCGAGGTTAGGAGCAGTGGCTGCTCTGGCAGAAGAGTTCGATTCCCATAACTCCAGGTCCAGGGGATCAGACACCGTCTTCTGGCCTCGGCATTGCACGACGCGGGTGCACTTACATACATTCAGGCATAACACACACACACACACACACACACATGCATACATACATACTAAAAGCAAGTGCTAGATTTTTAAAGAGATTGATCATCGGCATGAAAAACAGACTCGCATGACCATGATTAACGAATCACATTTTGCATTTTGTCAAGATTTTCCTCATAGTAAAATTTGATACTGCTTTAGACAGTATTCTTTGTATTTTTTCCATTCCAAAGTGACGTAAGCGTTAGCTCATAGTAGATAGTAAGGGAAAAGGCCCCATGGTAAACACCTGCAGCTGTGTGTGAGACAGCCAAGCAGATATGACATCTGTAAGAAACAAGGCCGAGGAACTGGAGAGATGGTTCAGCGGTTAAGAGCACTAGCTTCTCTTGCAGAAGACCCTGGTTTAATTCCCAGCATCCACATGGCAGCAAACAACCATCCATAACTCCAGTTTCAGAAGATCCGATGCCCTCCTCTGACCTCCATGAGCATTGCATGACATGGGCACACCTACATACATACACTCATACACATAAAAATAATAAAATATTTTTTAAAAAAGAAGCAAGGCCAAGGACGGCTAGCCATGAGACTTGCCCCTTTGGGAAACACAGGCTAAGCACTATTGTTTGTTATATATTCTTCCTTTTAATGCATTTTTTTTTCTAATGTAGCTAATTATGATATACTTAAGTTGTAAGGATTGCTTCTAACAGGCCTACCTCTGTTTCAGCAGAGACTCCAGACCATCCCATAGACCAAGTGGTAACCAAGAACACTTCATCTACTTCTCAACAGCTGTGAGGATGAAAAAGAGAGTTTAATATAATGGCAGCACCTGAGACTCCTATGAGGTCAGAGGTAGAAACACCAGCAGGTAACTGATAGCCAACATAGTCAACAACTAAAGCCAAAGATATAGATGGGTAGAGGGGAGGCTTCAGTCACCCCTAACTGGATAGGCAGCACATGATCATCTCCCTAGTTGGGCCAAGGGAACACTCTTAGGGCGTGTGGATCTTCCATTGGCTCAGCCCATGATAGCTCAGAGAATTAACCAGTCTCAATGGAGATTATGTCTTTGTTCAGTTTCTGCCATTGCCCTGTAAAAATCCTAGACAAAAGAAATTTTGGAAGTTTTTTGTGTCTTGGAAATCCCTTCCTCTCTCGAGTTTCTCTCACTTTTCCTTAATTTCTCACTTTTTTGGGGGGGGGGGTATTTTTTAGACAGGTCTCCCTATAGCCTCAGCTGGCCTAGAACTCACTGTGTAGACCAGGCTAGGCTTGAACTCACAGAGATCCACCAGCCTCTGCCTCCCAAGTTCTGGCATCAAAGGTGTGTGCAATTTCTCTCTTTTCTGTAATAATTTTTGTTTTGTCACAGGGTCTCACTATGTAACCCTGGCTGGCCTCGAATTTGCTATCTAGACCAGGCTGGCCTCTGCCTCCTGAGTGCTAGGATTAAAGGTGTGTGCCACCATGCCCAACTTCTGTAATAATTCATGATAAAACCTGCTTTTGCTTGCATACTCCCACACAGCCTTTCATTTTCACTGGGGTGAGACAGTGAACTCAGAGCCACTGTTCCAGGTCAAATTTTGATGGATCATGAGTCCCCAACATTTACGTCCTTGAGTCATGCTCAGCTCGGCCAAGAAAGGTCTCACAGCTCTCAAAAATGCTGCATCAAAAGTATTATATGCACTTTGATCTGTCATGTCAGCACTGGGGCCAAGGTGGAAGCAGACAGATCCCTGAGAACACTGGCCTGCCAGACTGGCCTCAAAGGGAACCCCCAGGTTTAATGAGAGCCCCTGTCTTAAAAAGATGCCTAACTTTCACCTCTGGCCTCCATATGCACACTGCTTGTATGTACCCATATGAATACATACATACACATGCACAAGCATCATACACATACAGCATCAAAGGAAACCTTGAGGAAATAAAGACATCATATTAAATTCTTATAGCCAGCATATAGCCAATAGATAATAATATTGTACAGGCTCAATTTGGTACACACTTTAAAGAATTTGAGACAAGTCAGAAAATATGTAATAATTGTATGTGACATAACATTTAAAATAAAATCATATATAGAATATATAATGTACATTTGCTGAAAATAAATTACATATTTTAAGTGTGGTGGACTCAAAAAAACTATATGCACTTTCATAAACAAGAGTAACCATTAAAATCTGAATGTACAGATTCTGAAACTTGGTGTTTTTGTTCTTGGGCTTCATACTAGAGAATCATAAACATGTGTCCACACCTGCATTTTCATACTTAACTGTTATGACTGGGTTCTATAATTTTTTTTAATTTTTGTGTGTGTGTATGAGTGTTTTGACTCCTTGTATGTTAAGTGCACCATGTGTATGCAATGCCTGTGGATACCATAAGAGGGCATCAATCACTTGGAACTGGAATTATGGATGGTTGTTAGCCACCATATGGTTACCAGGAATCAAGCCCTGGTCCCCTGCAAGAGCAGCCAGAGCTCTTAACCGCTGAGCCATCTCTCCAGGCCCATGACTAGGTTCCCTGACTTTTTTCAACTAACTTCAAGTCCATCAACAGAGGAAACTAGAGGGATACTGGAAGGCAAGAGAAAGGAAAATGGATTTGCTCTATTCTGTTCACATCATCCCAGTGACAGCTCTTTAACCCAGGCAGCAACAATTGCTTTAGCCAGCACTTGAGTCCCAATCTTTCTACAACAATCACACAGTTCACACTACTGCACTCAAAAGTCCTAGACCTAGCTCCATGGGGCCACTCTACTGGCTTCTAAGATAGCAATGGTGCTTCCCTCTTCCAGATGTTGAGGCCCAATCCTACAGGATCTATCCCTTCTTTCAGAGGAGTAGAAAGACTAATATCTAAACTGAGCTTCTCAGGGACCTTCTCCAAGCATCTCAATTCTGAGGACTCCACCCTCTTTCTTATTTGCATAGCTCTAAAATAGTAGCTGCTGCCTGCAATGTTTACCTCTGTAGCCTCAGAAGTGTCGTGTGTGTGTGTGTGTGTGTGTGTGCGCGCACACATTTGTATGAAGGTACACGTCCATATGTGTGACTATGCGTGTGGAGGCCAGAGGTCGACATCAGATGTTTTCCTCAACCTTTTTCCACTTTATTTTTTTAAGATTTATTTATTTTTATTTCATGTGTATGAGTGTTTTGTCTGCGTGTATACCTTTATGCATACCTGGTGTCCACAGATGCCAGAAGAAGGCATTGGATCCCCTGGAATTTAAGTTACAGACAGTTGTGAGCCACCATGTGGGTACTGGGAACCAAACCCAGATCCTCTGCAAGAGCACCAAGTGTTCTTAACTGCTGAGCTCTCTCTGCAGCCCCTCCATGACATTTTTTAAGGCTCACTGGTTCAACTCAAATGGCTAGGCAGAAAACCCCAGAGACCCTCCTGTTTCTGCCTCTCTAATACTGGGGTTGCAAGTGTGCACTGCCAGTCCAGCTTTTTACGTGGGTGCTTGGTATTCAAAGTGGAATCCTTATGCTTGTGCACCAAGCACTTAATTGACTGAGCCATCTCCCCAGCACAGTATTCTCTTTTTCTCTCATGATCCCTTTTAGCTAGTCTCCTGACTAAATTATTTCTCTTTAAATAATTTATGTGTGGGGTTGGAGAGATGGCCCAGTGGTTAAGTGGACTGACTGCTCTTGCAGAGGACCTGAGTTCGATTCTCAGCACCCACATGGTTAACAACCATCTATAGCTCCAATTCCAGGGGATCTGACACATTCTCTCCTCTGAGGGCACTGCACAACACAGATGCACTTACACACATGCAGGCAATACACTCATACACATAAAGTAAAAATAATTTTTTAAAAAATTAATTTCTGTGTGTGCCAAGGACGTGAGTTCAATCATAAGCACAAATGATTAATTTTATTTCCCTAACTTAGCCCTGATTGAAAATGCACACAGTGCCATGGCACATAGTCCCCCACCCACCCATACACAGCCATTCATTATACATATGATAGTAATAATAAATGATGGCGTTGCTGCAGCCTGTGATAGTTGTGCTTTTAGTTTAAGTAAACCCCATACTGCTCTCCATAATCGATGTATTAATTTACTTTCCAATGTGTAATATTTGACTCCCCCAAACTTAACTGCTTAGTAGCCTAATGTTGGGTGGAAGCCT